ATATATATATATATATATTACAATTTTGAATTTCTATTACAATTTTTTTATAACTGTATCCAAATTTGAACCTAATTTAATTTTAATGTCATATCCTTATGACTCTTATAAATATGAGTTAATTGGGGTGTGCAGATAGATTGGTGGCTTGTGGTTTTCCTGACTTAAGCTTTGTGCCGTGGAGGAGTTAGTTTGCTGGGAGTGTTCAGAAGAGAACCTGAAACAGAGAGCCAATTGCTAGGCCCTGGGGGATTGAGAATATATAGAACAGTTGATTATTTGAATTAAATTTTAAGGAGAGAGGATTTGATAGAAAGAAATGAATAATAAAAAAATGGTTTTCTTTGATTGTGTGATCACTGTCTTGACGCACTAGAAGTACGGTGGTGCCAAAATTTTTTTGATGATTTCATAGAAATGGGAAAGGTATACTTTTGAGGTATATTTTCTTAACGGGCAATTTTTTGTATGTGTCGTCTTCTTGATTTATTATCTTTTTTGAGTTATTCTCTCTTCTGTTTGTCTGGAGACATTTGAGGTTCTCTTTTATAGTGAGATTGTGTATTTGAATTCGAGAGAGTCTTTTCTTGTGCTTCTTTAACTTATACATCTTTGTGACTGCTCTTCCTTGGAATGAGACTATTGTTTAGCTGAGCCACACAATTCTGTGTTATCTTTGTGTGATTTTTTATGTGTTATTACTTTATGCATTCATTGTATTTACACATGATAGATGCTTTCACATAAAAACTGAGTGCTTTTTCTAGCAAACCCTTTACTTCAACTATAGGATTTATGACATCGAGAACTTGATTGCAGGTGACAGAAGTTAGTGAGAAAACTGTTCTTTCAAGGGAAGCGTATATGTTATTTTATGTCCGGGACAGAACAGTTGGAGTTAAAGGGACCGTTGAGGTTTCCCCTAAACCTGATATTTCTTTAAGTGCTACAGCAAATAAAACAATTCCTGTGGTGGAAAGAAAACCAAGTCCTGCAGTTTACACCTCTGTCCATACTAGGCATGATGGAACCAGCAGCGAACTGGTTCCCGCACCGGGTGCCTTGTTGCAGGAATCGGTCAAGTATGAAGGTCCACTTTTTAATGGTAATGTCCAGGTTGAAACGAAATGTTCTTCTTTGCAAGGTGGTGATAGCAATGAACACAAAGAAACAACATCAAAAGGGCCAGCAAAATCACATCCTTTGATGGATTCTAAGCTTCCTTCTAATGGTGATGATAAGGTAATTCAAATGTTTTCTGTTTGAAGGCTTGGATAGCAAATGTTTGGTTTCCTTATTTTTTTTATTTTGATTGTAGAAAAATAATTTCGCTAATGACAATGCTCAAGATGGCGCCTTGGCACATAGGATGGAGACTGATCATCCACCGCCACCAAATGATGTTGAAAAAATTTTAAGGCAATCAAACGCCATGAATGATTCTATCCAAAAGGAAGTTGTTGGTTCGAGGCTGGTGGACAATCAGGTATTAAGTTGCATAAGATTTCTTTTATTTTACATCCAAGTTCAGTCAGCTATGATGTTAAGCTTGGCTGTGCTGTTTGGGCTTCCAGAATAATGGCCCGAAGGATCACCAGTTTGACAGCTGCTCAAGTAATCTGAAACTTCAAAAGGGTGGAGAGAGCTTCCTAAAGTTGCTGGAAACTAAATCGATTGAATCATTGCCGTCATGTGCCGCCGTTTGTTCTGTTCAATTGGAAACTCAATCGGATATCATTACAGAAAACTTGTTATTTAGCAGCGACAGGACAGAGTCTAAGCTAAAAAAGCCTAGAAAATCCTCATCAGCAAATGGCTGGTACTTCGGGCGCAAGCAGTTATTTTTTATGTCACTGCAACTCCCAAATAATAAGCGAAAGGGAAGCAAAAAACTTAAGTTAATTTCCATGAAAGGAATGAGTAAGAGGATAGTTGATGATCACAATAATGATTCACATGGAGCCTCCACTTCCGAAACTTTCCAAGCTATCAATTTCTGCTCCAGGCATTCCCCTAGAAAGCACTCACATTTTTCTACTTACAGAAAATCGAAGGGAAAGGAAGCCATTAAACTTGGTAGCAGTTCTGTTCATAATAAAGAATTTAATATAGGCATGAAAACTCTAATGCTTGAAGCTTCAAATAAGCTGAGTAGGTTCTGCTCCAGTGAAGGGGACTACCGTGTAAAGTGTAAAAATGCTGAAGAGAAACATACCCAAAAATTATCAGTGAATCTACTAATGACTAGTCTGAAACAAAATTCTGGTGAGTTTCAGGCATTTTTATATTTTCTCCATCATCTAGTTTCATTTGTTTCTTCTATCTGATATTTTCCTGGCATGCAGTTGCTAGCTGGGATGATAACTTCCCAGCTGAGAAGACGAATCAGGTAGAATACAATTCAAAAAGGAATATTGGTTGTATCCTGGATGAATGGTAAGATCATTTTCTTCTTGTTTTTATTTTCCTCTACTGTTGACGTCACACTGAAAGAGAAAATCTTAAAAAGTTAAGATTAATGGTTGACTACCTCCCTTTTGATGTACTAAGACTGATTTTACCCTCCCCTCACTAGACTTTTGTCTAGAAAGCCAACAGCACTATACCTGCAGCTGATTGATGAAATGACAAATCTGCCAATGTATCTCATAATCTGAATTGTAATTGACTTGTTTAGGGTTTAGTTTCTTTTTTGATGAGAAATTTTCATTAGATATTGAAGAAAGAGTTTCATAAGAAATACTTGAGTTTGCAAGTAATCCAAGAGGAAATACTTGAGTTCGCTAGCCATCCTAGCAATAATTGATAAAAAAACAGCGGAAATAATGCGATATTCTCATTGAAATCAATTGAAAACAAAAGATTGTAGTAGCGGATTCAAAGCAAAAGCAAACATAAAGCAAGATACAATTGATCCTCAATTCAAGAGGGGGATCTTTCTCTCTCAATCTCTAGATGATGAGTCTAGAGCCTAAGACACCAAAGAAGCCTCTAGAGAAACAAATCAAAAGTATAGCCCTAACCCTAAAACACCTCATGCTATTTAACACAAGCTTTCTAAATCCAAACTCCCTCCAAACCCTAGCCCCCCCCTCCTTTCTTCTTTTGGATTCTATTTGAATAGTGGGACCCACTATTGTGGGTGCAAAGAGGGGAGGAGGCGGGCTAGTACCGCCTCCTATAGACCAAAACCGGCCCTAGGTGGGCCGGTTCAGGAGGAACCGGCCACAGAGTTATGCAGAGTTTCAGACTTCTAAATTTAGAAGGTGACGCCTTTATTTATTTGTATTTAATCAAAATATTTTCATCTTATCTCAGTGATGAAGATGATTATGACAAGAACAAGAGAAAAAAAGTGAAGAAATCCAGGCAGTGGTTTGGAGTTGTTGAGCAGAACCCATTCCAGGAGACAGCCATCTTCAAAACACAGCAGAAGAGACCCAAAAACAAAGGTAGAGCAGAAAAGCCAAGAAATCAACCTTTTAGGATATTAAGGTAAAGAATATGAAAATATGCCTTATGGTGTGAAAAATTCAATTTTGAAATCAATTTTTACTTCGTTTAAGATCCTGTAACTGTTGAGCTGATGAATGGACAGGCCGTCTTTAGTTCGATGGCCAGCCTTAAGATTTGTTGTCTTGCTGCATCAATAAAGCTGAAATTTTTTGAGTTTTGGCACATTTTATGAAAAGGTGATGATATTATGTTATATTATAAGAGCTATATTGATGCTTTGAAATGTTCAACAGATTATATATCTATACTACAATATTTTTGTTTACTTATTTGCTGTTTTTTTAGGTGTTTTTGTGGTTCCACAATTAACCAAATAGAAAGTCTAGTTTTTTATTTTTATTGAACTTTGTGCAACTTGCTAAATTTTAATGTAATTAGCTATGCCACTTGCTTCATAGAAGTCAGTGAATTTCTACTACAAGTAAGCCATTGAAACTAGGGCTGCAAGCGAACTAAACGTTCGACGAACTACTCGTTGTTCGGTTCGATTAAAGCTCGTTTGTGATCGTTTAATTAGCTAAACAAACAAACTTGAACAATATTTTAAATACTCGATTCTTAAATAAACAAACTTGAACACTAATGTGTTCGGCTTATTTATGTTCGCGAACAACATCATTTGAAGTTGGTGAACAAGTTCGATATTAAGCTTGATTGGTGTTCGATTTTGAACTCGTGAATAAGTTAGATAAAAATAATTAATATTTGACTATAAAATTAATAAATATAAATAATCATTGTATTTATTACATAGACAATTGCTTTTATTATAAATGTGTTTGTTCATAGACATGTTCATGAACGTATTTGTTTGATAGTTAAAAAAAAATCGTTAAATATGTTCGCTAACAAGCTCGATAAGCACTAAACGAACATGAACTGAACATGAACACTCATTTATTTAAATGAACCAAACATGAACACAAACAATAAAGCTTGAACAAACATGAACCAAACTTGAACAAGCTGATATTAAACGAACACAAACATGAACACTCACATACTCGGCTCGGGTCGTTTGCAGCCCTATTTGAAACCAAATGAAGACTGGTGATAATTTTTTCATTGACCGTTTTTCCTGCTTTCTCATTTAATCTGAACTTTTACTGTTGTTTAGGTAAATTTAGGTTTTATTTGGGAAGGCTTTATTACTGCTTTTTAAAGTTGTTTTTTAGTACTAAATTTTAGTTTTTTATTAAAATGTTGTATCCCAAATGAAGCTTTAATGTTCTTTTCATTGGCAGTGAAGGGTTTTGATTGTAATTCATGCTTGATTATTAGAGCTTAGTGAAAGTTCCAATAGATAGATTTGATCAAAGAATAAATGGAAGCCATTAGTCCATAGTAGGGGTGCAACCGAGTCAAGCTGGCTCACGAGCTAACTCGCTCTACTCGGTAACAGGTTCGATGAGTCGAGCTCGAACAGCCTGAGTACTCGACTTGTGAGCTCGTGAGCTTGTCCAGCAGCTCGGGAAAATGAAATCGCCAGCGACATAAAGGGCGACGGACGGAAGTTGTATCTCGAATGGATCTAGGCAATCCAGCTTGGGCGTGCGATCCACTGAGCATTAGAGGCATGGAGTTCAGTTCCCTTCTTCTCTCACATAGCTTATCATCTTTGTCTCTACCATTCGATTGAAGCAACCAAACTAGCCTCCCTTTGTCTTTCTCACAGTAAGAACCTCACATGAAGCCTCACCAAATCCCCCGCTCCCAGGCGATCCCTCTCAAATTTGAATGGACCAGGTGCGGCTTACGTGTGATCCGACCTAGCAGAGATGAGTGGCTTGTGATTCAAAGAACCCTAAACCAAGAGAGGGCTCCTTGCATATGTAGTGCGATCTGTGCGGCCACATCAAACAAGAAGAGTGGGCATTTCTTCTTCCTGATCTACATTTTCCTCTTAATCTTCTTCTGAAGGCTGGCAACGGACCAAAGCTGGAAATGACACACACACCGGCCACGACAAGAAAGATGGTGACGACACAAACACCGCCACAACACGGACGCTAGCGATGACGCGGCACTGGCGACTAATGTTGGCATGACGGAAGGATTGGGCTCGAAGTGCCACTCGAGTAGCTTCACGAGCTTTTTTTCCTCCGTCGAGTCGAGCTCGAGCTCTACTTTTGAGTTCGACTCGAGCTCGTGCTCGGTATTTAACTGTCGAGCTCGACTCGACTCCTTTGCACCCCTAGTCTATAGTAATTGTGGTAGATTCTTTAAATTATAAGCCAAGCCATTTAGGAAAGGATTTCCCCATCCCAATCACAACTAATTTACTTGACAAGTCAATTATTGTGATAAAGGTGGAACCATATTAGTCCATCTCATAAATGAAAAAATTAGGATGTATTAGTGTTGTAAGTGAATCAAGCTGATTCGTGAATTGGCTCAAGCTTGACTTGATAATTAGCTCATGAGCTGAGATATATGAGTTAATGAGCCAAACTTGAGCCATTTCAAATTGACTTGTTAAACTTGCGAGTGTGCTCATTTAAAAATTATGACTATAAAATGTATTTATGATATATTAGTATTCAAGGTTTTAGGTTCAAAGTTATTAAAAATACTAATAAATTACATTTCACTTTCTAATATTTAGTGATTTTTTATTTTATTTTCTTATTTTTCATTCTTTTTACTATTTTATTATAATTATTACTTGAATCATATGCATTTTTTTTTCTTTCAAAATAAGTGGGTTCAAACTCGTAGATTAAAGTTTAAGCTAGACATTGAACTTAATTAATTTATAAAGCTCAAACTCGAGCTTGGCTCAACTCACTTGCACTCTTAGGATACCTCAAATATTGAACAACACTTATTGAATATCAAATCCTTCAAAAAAAAAAAAAACTTATTAAATATCAAATATTTTATTTTTATATTTAAATATAAATAGATTAAATAAAAAGTTAAAATTAGAAGAAAAAAATAAAGAAAGAAAGAGGATGATAGAGCCAAAAAACCAAATAATTTCATAATTTGTTTCTGTTGGAGTTAATCATATTTAAGTCAAAATTTAATTTACTTTTTTTTTAAAATGATGAATATCTAAGCATAAGTTCAGTGCAGATTAAATTCAAATTCAAAATTTTGATAATAATTTTAAAAACTTTTACCAATTAAATTAGTCAACACTCATAATTAGCAATTAATTTAATTAAATGTTTGAAAGTTTGATCCTCCTTCAATTATTCCAACTTTCTACTATTTATGACAGAGGAAGCTTTAAACTATCATTTCATTTATTTATTTCAATGGATGTGGCATTTCCAAGGCCTAAACTTTCATGAATTATTTATAAGAAAATTTTGAAAATTATTTTTTATTATCAAATATATTAATCTCGAGAGAATCCATTCATTTATTTATTTATTTACTTTAATGATCTATTCTTTATTATATGTTGAGATCTATTATCATATAAAAGAAAGATGATTTATGAATTAATCTCCTTTAATATAATTTTACTATTAAAAAAAATATATGGAATTGTTTGAAAAATTTCATACTTTTTTTATAAATATTTTACATTAAAAAAGAGTCAATCTTTAATAAATTCTTTTAATACATGTTAATAAAATATTTTTTTGAGATTGTTTTTACGAAATTTTTTTTTGGTGCGAAATGTTCTAAACATTAGGGTTTTGAAAATATTAGTATTCACTCCAAAATAAAAGAAATTATAAATGAAATTTTATAGAATTTAAAAATTCACCATCTTGTTAAATTTGATGTGTTTAGAAATTATTAGATATGATTGATTTTCAAATACACTATAAATTCTATGAAATAGTTGTTGCAAGTTGTTGCGACCGTCGGCTCCCTAGCAAGTAGCTGTGGTCATCACCGATTGCTATATGTTGTTCCATCTGATATCCGTCGTCATCACTAGGCTCCTGCTGCCACCTGCTGTCCGTCGTCATCACTAGCAATTATCAATGACTTTGCAAAACATTATTTTTCTTTTCAAGTCAACCAAATAATAATAATAATAACCAATTACATTTATTTTATATTTATTTAAAGCAGTTCTAAATATTTAAAATACCTTGCATTTCTTTCAAATTGTATTTCATTTTTTTAGATAGTTATTCTTTTCTCATAAATTTTAGACTATTTAATGCATACAAATGTCAATTTATTATTATTATTATTATTATTATTATTATTATTATTATTATTATTATTATATTCTGTATTTACAGCTATTGATGTTTTTTTAATAAATGCCTCTGCTTTAGCATCTCAGATTACAGGCATAGAAGCCTTGTAATAAAAAGCTGCTTTAGAAAGTAAGAAAAAAAGCTATCTCAAACAAAGTCTAAATTATATTAAAATTTTAATTTTAAAAAATAAAATTTTAATTTATTTTATTTTGACTTTATTTCAAACAGCTTTCTCATGCTTTGTAAAACACTTTTTTAGTAGCAAAATTTTTAATCTAAGAAATTTGGGTACTAAAAAGATACTTTGGAAAGCAGCCAAATAAAGTCTTAGGTTTTGTTTGTGACATCTTTATTGTCGCTTCTTAAAACAATTATTTAGTACAAAAATTGAAAACTGGTATCCCAAACGGAACTTTAGGCTTCATTTGAGATAGCTTTTTTATTATTTCTTAAAGCAACTTTCTTACTAAAAAAATACTTTAAAAAGCAGTAAGAAAGTCATCCCAAATAAAGTCTTAGGCTTCGTTTGGGACGGCTTTTTTATTGCTTTCTAAAACGGAGTTTTAGTACAAAATTTTTTATTTTTTAACTAAAACTCCGTTTTAGAAAGCAGTCCCAAACAAAGCTTTAGTGTATCAATTAATACTTTAAAAATATATAATTTTTTATCTTTAATTGATTTATCTAAGTAAAATGGAGTTCATTTTTATTTTTTGTGAATTTATTTGAGTGAATAAAACTATTCTTTAAATTAAGAGAGTAACAAGTAGTTTAAATGTTAAAAAAAAAAAAAGAAATTGAAACGCCAATGTTTCCCGCTAAGCAGTAAACAAAAGGAACCCGAAATTGGACCCACCATCTTCCTCCCAGGAACTTTTATTACATCCAGTGAACCGAGTACCCAGAGAGTAGAAACGGCTGCTCTCTCTCTCTCTTCTCTCCTTCTCTCTCTTTCTCTCACGCCCTCTATAAAATGTTCCCGAAAAGGAAAGAATCTTTCTTTCACCGGAAAGATCCCATTTTTAGGACATGAGAGTAGCAGAGTTCCTCCAGGACTTGGGGGAGATGAAGAAGAAGAATCGGAGGAGAAAAAGGATAAATTTTGGCGCACCTCCGCTGCATTGCGAGCCTCAAACGCCGCGTTCCTTTCTCTTCCGGTGGTTTTTTAACACAGCGCCCGCCGCTGGCAATGTAAACGGCGGCGCAGCGGAGGGGTCGAAGTCGAGTTGCTTGGTTCCGTTCTCGAAGTCTTGCTGCAAGAATGAGGAGGAGGATGAGAAGGAGGACGAAGAGGGGTTCGGTCCAGATGAAGCGAAGGAGACGATTCCAGCGATTGGGGAATCCACGGAAGGAGGTAATGTGTTCAGCATTAGTTTATTCTTTTGTTTGGTCTGCTTGATAAAAATAGGGTTTTTAGGGTTTTGCTGATTCCTGTTTGAGTTGGAGGGTTTTGACTTAAGGCAGTTTGATTTCTGATAATCACAAAGGAAATACACCATGAACCGAATTCCTAGAAGATAAAATGCTCGGATTTGATTGCATTTGTCATTAAATAAAATATATATGTATATTTTTAACTTACCACAATCTCTTTGTTAGGCTTGAGTCCTTGCATTTATCTTTCTGTTTTTAACTGTTTCAAGGCCAATGTAAGAGTTACGGGTTTCTGTCAAAGAGAGTTTTTTGGATTAATCAAAAGAAACAGAGGAAAGAATATACATATTAGAAGGATAATGCAACTGGAATAGTATTTTTTGCAGAAAGCTATAGATTATTCCATGTATTCCTCGTGATTATCATTGTGGATCACTTAGTGTCAGCCTTGCCATGCTGGCTGTTATCTCTCACAGCTAGTACATTGAAGTGGGACAGCTTTAACAAAAGAAAAATCTATGTAGGGTCCATTTCAAAAAAAAAAAGTGAAAAATTAAATTATCAGTTTCTTAAACGTGATTTCTAGCAATCAAATGGACCCTTCAATGGCACAAAGTTGTTTTAATTTGTTTGAAGAAGTTTGGGATATTGAAGCTCAATTAGATTAGAAAGACTTAAGGGCTTTCCTGTTGAGATTTCTGATTTATTCCTTTTGTTTCGTTGTGTAATGACTGAGCAACATTTACTGCTTTCATGTTGATTTGTTTGGGGATTAAAAGCAGAAAAATGTAATCTTGATTTCATTCCCACAAGTTCTGAATATTGAAGCTCGATTAGAGTAGAAAGAGTTAAGGGCTTTCCTGTTATTTATTTGTGTAATGACTGAGCAACATTTACTGCTTTCATGTTGATTTGTTTGTGCATTAAAAGCAGAAAAATGTAATCTTGATTTCATTCCCATAAGTTCTGATTAAAACTTTTTTTTTTTCTGATCATGCTAATATAGATGAACATGAATTAGCTGCTTTTGAACTAACTGCTGCCATCATTTCAAAATGTTAACTAGATGAGCAAAGCATAACTATGAAGAGAGAGGAGAATGATATATCTGAAGCAGATCTCTGTTAAGAACTTCATTTCAAACGCATTACATGACATGTTATCTTGCAAATCTGGGTGATCAGATTAAAAAATCTTCTATGTTTCATATGTTTTGTTGATCTTTTTATTGAATACTTTCTATGTGCAATTCCTTTTGTTCAAGTGATAATTTTGTTTCTTTGTTTAGTGATTAACTCTGTAGTTCACTTCAGATTTTTTGTTAATAGTAAGCTAATGACAGTTTTGAAATTAAAGCATGACCGCTCCTTGCATAATTTGTTGTAGGATTTAACATGTTGGAGATCAAGTAGAGGGACGGGAAGTACATGATAAGATCTTAGTAGACTTTAATATTTTTTTCTTTATCGATGCTCTAATTGGGATGAAAAAAAAAATATATTATTGTTTTATTTTGATGTACGTATCCTTTTAGTAATTAGTTCTTAAAAACAAAACACATACCAATCTTTAATTAGTTTAAGATAAAATACTAATCATTAATCGAGTACTTGTGTCCTTGGCTAGTTAATCTGTCTTTAACTTGTCTCAATTAAAATTAATTCACCACAACTAATTGATTGGTTGAAAAATAAATTCTAAGTAGAATTTTTAGGAATTTGTATTCCAAAATCTTCCAATTCGGGCAACTTGCAAATACACCATATTGACTTCCTCACCAACATACTACTATTGCAACTAGCTACTGCTGCCAGCCATCATCATTGTCGTTAGCCACTACCATTGTTGTTAGTCACCATCCACACCTAATATTAGTAGCCATAGTTGTTGGTTGTGGCTAATTGGCGCCAGCTACCATCGTTGCGGTCGATCACCACCACTCAGCATTGCTAGCCACCGCTATTGTCGCCAGTTGCCATTACCGTCTCCCACCTGCGAAGCTGCCACTACTGCCAAACATTAATTTTATTTTGCATGCAAAAAAACATAATGATTAAACTCCTGAATTTATTTTACAATCAACCAAACACCGTAAAGTATTTCAAATGTAGAAATTTTACTTTACTTTATATTTTGAATACATCTTGATGCATTGCTAGAAAATTCATTTAATGATACACATGTCTTGATGTAGTAGTGGAATTGAAATTTTCCACAATTACGAATCAATCCAAATCCAAATGCTCCCACAAACACTAGAAGTTTGGTTAAAATTTTCAAAGCGTTGATTAAAAGATCAAATACATTAATTAAAAGACCAAATGATCTTCAAATTTTGCATACTTCTTGTCAAAACAAGCTCTTGAAAGAGAAATCAAACGAGCTCAAGATCACTCAATTTCAAGATCCTAAAGTTACTTAAATGTTGAAAGAATGATTTATGATCAATGGAATCAACACGTGCGGTCGGATGAAGTGTTTTAGAAAATTGGCTTAATTTTGAGAAAACTTAGAGCTCTACATGATGTTTTATGCTAAGATGACCACCAACAACTGTCATCACCTGGCCATTGTCGTTAATCTATTATCGTCCAATCGTTGCTTGACTACAGTCTCTTAGCCATAGTCATCCGACAACGGTCTCCAAACCACCATCACCCGAGACCTTATTATAGATTATATTTTTGGATTTTTTACTTCACAATTTTATATTAGGCATGCGGTTGCACTATAAAAAAATAGGAAAGATTTTTCAATAATTGAACAAATGCTTTTTATTATTATTATTTTTTACATTGACTCTATTATCTACCCAACCTTCATGAAAAACAGGAAAAGAAAAATTGATCAGGTGATGGATGTGACTAAGTTGCCTCCTCTTCATAAAAAACAAAAACTCACATTTTAATCAACCAGACAAGAAGACTTTTTTTTTTCACTCAATTTCTCCTCAAACAAATAAGTAGGTGTAAGTAATTTCAATTCAATTTGTTGGTCATTTCCTTTTTCTTTTCCTTCTAACCAAACAAAGCCTAGATGGTTTTTTCTTTTACATCTTCTTTACATGAATGGAAAGAAAATGAGAGATTCTTGATTTCTTTTGGAATCGACTTTGACGCCTTTCTGCATGTATCCTTACAAGAAAGATAGGTAAATTACATATTAAATAGAAACCGTGGAAGAGGTGCAGAGGGAAAAGGAGTTGTTCCTGAAGAAAGCCAGAAAGCATAAAGATAAAGCCACACTGAAATGAAAGCAAATGTTGCTAATGTCCTGAGGTTTCTTTATGTCATCTTAGGCTTCGTTTGGAACAGCTTTCTTACTGCTGCTTAAAGCAGCTTTCTAGTACAAAAATTTTAATTTTTGTACTAAAAAGTTTCTTTAAGAAGCAATAAAAAAGCCGTCCCAAACGAAGTCTTAATCATGATTTTCGCCTGCATGTGTGAACTGCTGCATGATGGTCCATTGTGGAGTAAACAGGTTCATTTGTATTACATGACTAATTTCTTACCATCAACTTATTAATTTACAAACATGTTATATGCTCATGAATACCTGGCTAAAACTATGCATCTTTATGAACAAATATCTAAAAGCTTTATCCATTCTATGAATGCTTGGCATTTTGTTGACAATATCAAGTTTTATCTGGTAATAGAAACTCAATTATGTATATAATTATAGAGTTGGCTGTCTTTAAGCATATTACAAGACATCTAGTTATTTTTTTAAATAATTGTTCTTTCTGATGTTGTTGTTGTTGTCTGATTTCAGAAAAGAAACCTGAGGTTCTCTCTTTCAACCTTGGTATGGGGGCAGGTCTAGTCTTCCTCTTGGCAAAAAGTGCTAGTGAATTTAATAAAATGGTTGAACTAAGATCTGAGATGGAAATGATGATCCAGTACATCAAAGGAGAAATGCAAAGAAAAGCTACTGTTTCTAACTTACCAGAGTCAAAGGTTCACAGCTTCCCAAATTCATATTACTTGGGGAGTGAATGTTCAAACAAGCCTCAGTACTTGCCTGATGATACAGAATCATGTAATTTCACAGGAGCTTACGGTGCCATGGCGACTCATAGGCAGTCCAACTTGAACATGGATTTGGATACTAAAATGTGCTCCACAGGCAATGAAATGGAGCAAGAGCTTCAAGTTGAACTACAACGCTTGCAGCTTAACTTGGAAGACCAAGATTCATCAATGCATCCACGCCAAGATAGATTGGAGGTAACTTTCTTATTTCCACAAATTGCTTTTAGGGCATCTCCAACCGAAAATCCCATTTTCATTCCAAAATGCAGTGAAACTAAAAAATGATGTGATTCACCTGCGAAGCTGTCTTTCTCCTCTTTGGCGCGTTTCTTCGGCAAATCCAGTTGAGATAGAAAAATCGTGTAGGTGAACAGTGCAACACCACTGTTCACCTGCAAACAAATAGCGGAAGATTTGGCGTTTGGCTGAAGTGACCGAACGATGCCATATGCATGTTTGGCCTTCGGTTGGAGATGACCTTAATTCTGCGTGCTTTTTACTAGTGCCATGTATTGACTTTGTCTTGTGACTAGGTTGTTCTATCTTTTAAATATGCAGTCTTTGTTTGGTAGATTTTATGATCATTTTGTCCTTGGAGGTTGATCATGTTCACATTTGAAATTTCCAGCCAGTAATCTTTGATTGTCAACATTGTGACAATCAATTCTTCTAAGTTTTATGAGATTTCTTGGTAATTGTGCATTGTCAAGTTCCTGAGGATGATTGATCCCATGGCTAACCATACTAACCAGCACCACCATAGTTGCACCATCCTGTGCAAAAAAAATAAAAACTGCAATGAATTAATTTTATTATGTTATTTAAAATTATTAGATATTCTCTCTTCTCTTTTCCTGTATTGTCTCATCAACTTGGCATGTTTCCTTCTTTCAAACTTTCAGCTTCCATCCACAAATGTTTTGTACATTTAAGGGCAATGTTTCCAAATCTGTAGTTAGATTGGTTGTGTTGTATGGCTTCTAGTTTTGGTAAACAGAAAGTCATTATGATTCATCTTGAGTTTGCCGAGACAGAATGTTAAGATGAATATGTGGTTGAAGTAAGAAGAGAATGACTGAATTAGCTAGATGATAAATTGCCTATTTATTTAGGTAAAACTCTAGTGGTTTGGGCATGTAAAATGAAATAAAAAGATCCACAAATAAGGTGGTCTGATTCTATTCATGTTCTTAGTATAAGAAGGGTAAAATTAGGGATGGAAGGGATAGAATCTGCCCAAAAAGGACTCGAATAAACTAGAGTTGACACCATTAATAGGAAGAACTGAGAATGCTTGACATCCTCCATTGATATGCCTTGCACCTCCATGTTCCTACCACCCTCAACTAAAATCTCAGTGAAGAAGAACAAATGTTGTGGATTAATCTCGGTTTCTTTACAAATTTACTAAAATTTACTATGTCAGAGAGATCAGTTACATATTATTTTTTGCTGGAAGGTAAAAATGCTCCTTATTCTTCCTGGAACCAAAAATTTCATCAGAACACTCTTTTTATTTACTTGTACTGAAACTTTAATCATCACAGGTAGACAGTGAGAGCAATTTGAGCTTCAATGACACTTACCAGCAAGTCAATGAGCCTAATAAATCAGAAAGCAACAAGCAAACTGGAGTTTGCCCTCGAGAGCTCGAGAGAAGGTTGCATGAGCTTCTTGAAGCAAGACAGCATGAGAGGATAGTTGAGCTCGAGAATGCATTAGAATGTGCAGAGAGGAAGCTGAATGAGAAAGATATGGAGATTTGCTGGTGGAGAGATACTGCAAGGCTGGTCTCAAAGCATAGAGAAGAAAGATTGCAACTGCAATTCTAAGAGAAACTTAGCTCCTGGCTATGTTGCTTCTTACCTCAATGAATCAATTGACTTTGTACTGAAGATTGGCTTTTTTGTCTGGTTATTTTCTGTTCTGCAGAGCTTTCTTCCATTTGTGTTCAAAGTTGAGGAAAAGAAGTTTTTTGCTTTGGCAATTTTGCAAAACAAACTCTCTGTTCTTCAAAGCTTTCTTCCATAAGCTATAATTAGAGCTTTTGATTGAGCAATTCAGTAACAGGTTTGGATCTTCTGCAATTAATTGATATTGATTTAGTTTATGGTGCATTTAAAGATAGAATCAATAATTATTTTTTAGAAAACTATTTTAATTTTATTGAATCCACTTCAATTGTATGTTTAAAATGCATGTTTAAAATGAAATTGATATAGAATTAATCAATTTAAAAAAGAGTATATATATAATTAATTAATTAATTTCAGCGTTACATTCTTTTAAACATAAATTCAATAAATAAAAAAATTATCATGCTATTGATAACAAGAAAAAGATTAAATCTTCATTATTAATGATTTATTTATCATTATTTTTTCCTTTCCAATATGATATTTTCCCTAAATTGAAGGAATTGAAACATTGATCATGATATCATGGAAAATGAGCTTTTTGTTAAAAAAAGAGGCAATTTTATACATAAAATTCAAATCTTAGTTATTTATAAATTAACATTCTCCTACCTCTACTTTTCATATTGTCACCTAAATATTTAAATTTACAAAAAAGGATCATTATATTCTGATAAAAACTTAAAGCAGTACAAGAGCTTTTGATAAAGCTGATTAAGCTTAAGCTCAATAATAATAATATGAGTTATTTCATTTTTATATGATAGCGTAATAATAAATTAACTCTTTAATTTAATGGCCTCATTAAATAATGCTCTAATTATATAATCTTTTTCTTATAAGTTTTTTTATGCTATGAGAAAACTGAATAGACTAAGAGCTTGTTTATTAATGTGTTAAGCTAAATGAGATCAGAAGTTAGACCAAAAAAAAGGGATTAATCAAGCTAATTACACTAATCACTGATTTACTTAATGATATATTTATGCTAATACTCAATAACCATAGAGATTAATGTGGATTAAAGCAACCATAAGGACTAACTTAATTTTTTTCTTATTAACTTAATTAATTAGTTCCAAATCTTAAAAACGTCCAAACTATTAGCAAGATTTTGTTAATAAGAAAGTTTAAGTAATCATAACAGGTAATAGGATTATTATTTGCAAAGAAAGGTTATAAATTTGTTTGTTCAAAAAATAATATTGTCAATTTGGAAAGAAGATAATCACATCATATAAAAAACAATATTGTTGAGAAAATTACTTAGCTTTTGCTTGCACAAGATGCAAAAAATCCAAAGTAGCTAATCATGCATTGGAGTAGTATTATACCACATTGATTTACAAATCTTGAAGCACATGATACAAAACCTCTGCATTTATCATCATGATATATTACTTAAATAAGGTACAATAGAAAAAATAAGATGGTTGAACATTAAATTTGATTACTTGTGTTCTATTCAAGATGAAATTTCTCTTCAACTGCGTAAGATTTCATAAATCGACCCGTTTGAACCCGGGTCAGTTCCGGGTTCGACTCGAACCCGACCCGTGACCCGAAATTGACACCCCTGCATAAACTATTGTTTCATTTAAGATTTGTTTTGGGGCGGTTGCAGATTCATAAAGTTAGTTGTGAAGAAAGCAACTTCGTTACTAGGGTTGAAGAAAGCAGCACTCCATCATAGAAATGTCTGAAAGCAGTGATAAAATAGCAAGAAAATAGTAGCCAAATGAAATTATGGTTGTTGTTTGAAAATCAAAGCAGCCAAAAAACTGTCCGAATAGAACTTTAATGTATCTCCCTCGATCAAGACCAATTAGTATAAAAATAGAGCGACATTATATATCATTTGAATTTAAATATAAAATAAATTTAGTCAATTTAAAACTTGCATCACTATTTGGGTGTTGATTTGATAGGATTCCAACAAACCTAATTGAATGTTAGTGTTTAATGCTAAGAATGCTTGTGACATTATTACAGATCTTAATCGTCCTTTTGACTTCTGGTTCATGTTGCATTATGATAATAACTTCCAAGAAAATATATCAGATGTTCAGATGTTTTCACTTAACTAAATTAGGTAGACTTTAATGTTGGCATGTGATTAGAATGAATCTACAATCTCATTATCTAATAAAGAATTAAATGCAAAATGAATTTTTAAGATGCTTCCCAATCTAGTTCCTCATATAGAGCTTAGGTCGTTGACTCCATAAAAATTATTCACAATGAGTTGCTAAAGTAAGGGATGCGAATATGCGATCCCAATGTGGTGGAGCAAAAGGGGATAAAAAAATCTACATAGGGCCACTGCGGCTGACTGCACCGTATAGCGACGACGGCGGCGCATCTCCTCCGGTCGAGATCCCGGGAACGAGCGTTTCGGCGGCGGAAGGAGAAGTGGCGGCGGAGATGTTGGAGACGAGTGAGATAGGCAGGAGAAATAAGCCCTTCCCCTGAAGATATTGCTTCGCCGAGCCCATGTCGTCGTCCATAAGTTTTGCAACCAGGTTCTCCCTCCCAGCTACGGTCTCGCTCGCGGCAGCCGGCGATCCCCTCCCCTATCAAACAAACATAAAACAATTTCTTAAAAAAATAGAATTTATTAATGAGAAAAATTTATCAAAATGAATTCCAAAATCCTAATAATATTTACAGATGTAGATAGAGAAATAAAAGAAGAGAATTATTCACCTCAGAGGGGACGTCGACGATCAGAGGAGAAGCGGCGGCAGCCCCTCCTAGCCGGCTTATACTCAACACCTGCATTATCCCTCCAGTTTAAAACAAGATTACTTAAATCCTAGTCTACTTTTTAAAAAATATTATTAAGATTAACTTATACAAAATAAGATCTAATATTCAAATTTTTAGCTCGAATCAAATATTGACACCCCTAGATCTAATATAGCGCTGACCTTAAGTTGCATTTGCAGGAATTTCACGTACTCGATTATCTCATCAAGCATCGACGCCTTGTCCGTCTGTCAATTCAGTCCGATTCAAATACAACAAACATAGGGGTGAATTGAAAAGAAAAAAATAATAATTATTGCAATATTTTATTTTCGATTATTTGTGAATTTATGAATACAGAGCAATGAGATTTGGATTTTACCTTGTTGGCGTTAGGAACAAGTTCCTGGAGAGCCTTCATCCCTTCTGCAATTCGCTCTCTGCGAAGCTGATCGCACAGTACAAAAATGAATAAATAAATAAATTTTAAATTTTAGATGCTAAGTGTGAAAAAAGATTAATTTTGAGGGCTATGTATGTAGAATCCAAAAAAAAAAAAAACAGAAAAAAAAAAATTTTAATTTTGGCAAGTACTTACCCGCTCGGCGATGCTGTGCGGGTCAGTAGCCTGGCCGCGGCGGGCGCGGACGCGCGGCCGCAGAGCAGTGACTCTGAAGTCCCCGCTATTCGCTCTGGCCGATGTCGAGGGAGAGGGCGCCGCCTGCCGGGAACCTCCGAAGCTCTGTCGAGGCATCAATGCGCCCTGCGTTTTCGAATTTAAACATTGCAATGCCAATAAATAGAATTTAGATTTGAAAAGAAAAATGGATATATAAGGGTTTAGGTGAACCTCGGACAGCTGGAAATGTTGCGGTTGGCTCGCTCTAAATTCAGTTCCCTGTAAAAAAAAAATACGGTTTTGTGATTTTCATTTGTAAAAATAATTCGAAAACATGTGGGAAATTTGAGGGTGTGTACGGTGGAGTTGGGTGATTTGAAGGTAGAATCAGAATCTGCTCCAGGACAGGGGCCCCCAAGCGAAACCAGCAGAGGAGGAAAGTGACCCGACTCAACGGCGGAGGCATTTGCCGGCGACTGGTGGCTCCCGACCATGTCGGAGAGAAGCAACTGATGTTGCTCCAGCTGCGCACTGATCGGAAGCATCGTCTGCTCCCCATCCAACGATCCCTCGCCGATGATCGGTTGCGGCCGGAACCACGGTGCGAGGAGGGACGACTCGCCGTACGGCCCCTCGAAGGGAAAACCTTCGTCTCCGGCGACTTGCGTACCGTCGGTGAGATCCCAATGATATTGTATAAGCTCCGCAAATAAGGGAATGCTGGAGAAAATCTTGTCCAATGAATCGTCGGTGGCGGCAGGTGATGGTTCGAATTGGGAGAATGTCGGCTGAAGATTACAATTCTGGATCAGTGAATTGCCGTTGCTGTTATGGAACTCGTGGAGGGCAATCTGGGCGGCGACGGCCGTAGAGGGAGTTGGGTTGGAGGATTGCGATAATCCATTCAGCGGGGTTCCCATTGCTCGCATTTCTCCTCTGATAGGTTGCATAGCTGAGGTCCAGCGAGAGATCAGAAAAGCCAGCTAGTGATATTTGGCTTTGGAAAGTAGAAGAAGAAACAGCGGCGAGCAGATTGAGAGAGATGCAGAAGAAGAAGCAGAGGAGAATGAGACGGACGGAGAACTACTAGCGAAGAAGCGGTTACTGGTTAGTCCGTTAGTCCGTTAGTCCGTTAGAGCAGGAGAAATAATCCATAGAGAAGGGCAAATTATAAAAAGAGCAAGCGGTAGAAGTGGATTATCAAATTATTTTATAAAATATGAATTCGGAAAAAAATAATCCGATAATTAAATATCTTTTTTTTTTAAATTAAATTTCTTTTTCTATGGAAAAACTTATAGATACCGGATTTTAATGTTTCAGTTTTGATTTCATTTTATCAATTTTTTTTTAAATTTAGATTATTTATTTTTTTAGAAAATTTATACTGTTATTTAATGGAATTTAAATTATAATTACATTCATTAAAAATATAATTCTTAAATCATCTTTTCTATTTAATATATAGTTTTTTTAATTACCTAATATATGTATCTATCACA